CGGTTGGGGGGGGGGCTGTGGTAGTGTGTGGCGGGGGGCGGTGATGGGTTTTGACAATGGACGATAGTGGCAGTAGGATGATGATGATAATAGTAATAAATATAAGAATAAGATGATGATGATTGTGGGTGATAGCGATGGACAAACGTGATAGTAATCGGTGGTGAGTGGCGATAGTAGTGGCGGGGGTGGCGACGGTGGTAGTGGTGATGTTTTGTGGGGGTGGTGGTGTGGCGGTAGTGGTGGTAGGGGTGATTGTGGGACAATGGTGGTGGTAGGGTGACGACAAAGGTGGTGATGGTGGTTGTTGGACAGTAGGGGTGGCAGGGTGGCAACAGTGGTGATGGCAGCAACAATGGTGGTGGAAGTAATGGTGGTGGGTAATGAGGGTGGTGGAGGTAGTGGTGGTAGCTGTGGGTGTGATAGTGATGGGGCGATGGGTGTGGTGGTGGTGGTGATGGTATTGGTGGCGGTGGCAGTGAGGGTACTGGTGGTTGGGGTAGTTGTGGTGGTGGAATTGCAGAAGTGGTGGTAATAGTGGTGATGGTGGTGGGGGTGATAGTGGTAATGATGGTGATGAGACGGTTCCAAACACTATTTGTTTTTACGTATTTATGAAAAGTTACAAGTGTTTGAAGTACTTTTCAAAAATCACCCAAAACACACCCTTAGGAGCCTATTTTCCTTATTAAATTTAATGTGTTAATATTAACCGTCAAATTAACTTTAAGTAAAATTTAAAGAAATTTCAACAGCGAAAAGTAAAAATTATTTTGTTTATTTTTTGAAATTTGAATTGTATTATATTTTATTACTACTCATTGCCCGTGTCTGAAGGTATTATATAATAAACAAAAAAAAAATGCAAGTAATTATGAAAATTAATTAAAAAAAATGATCCAAAAACATTCATACCAATTCAAAATTGTTTTATTTTTATTGGTTTTTTTTATTTTTTTTTATTTTTTTAGTATCAATTGTTTTTCTTATTGATGATTAGCTTGAGTTTTTGTTTTTTTANTTGTACATCTAAACAAGAATATATTGAGAGTGGGTTCTAACACAACAGTAAAACTTTGTTGTTATAGAATCGAGTTAGACATACTCTTTAAGGTTGCATGTATCTTAGTTTTGTTAAATGTCAGCGGTAGGAATTTTGTGTATTTGACTTTTTTTTTTGTTAAAAAAAAATCAAGAATATATTAAAGGGTTCAACGATAGATGATCTTCATTGGAGTAGATCTCCTACAATACTCGATAATGCTAGCATCCAATGAGAACTCGTTAGTTTATTATATATCCTCTACTTTTGCACTAACTCGCACTTTGTTGTGACTGATGAATAGCTCTTTTACTTTGTGGAAACTCCACTCAGCGGAATTGATAACATAAAATTCGACTGTTTAAAAAATTGATTTCACTGTTAAATAACAAATTTTTTTCTTCCATTTCTTTGATTATATTATTTAAAATTTATTTTTACTCATTATTTTTTAAAAAATATTGACAATTGTTTTTCACAAAATGTGTATATTATCGTGTATGGATGATGTTTAAACTAAAAATTATGTTAAACTACAAATTAATCAAATATTAAATGACTAGTTATTTCCCATGCCTGAAGACACGGAGAAATAAAAAAATAGACAACAATAAATATATTTGTATTCACACAAAAAATCAAATCACAGACATAGTGGAAAGAGAAAGGAATTTAAACACCAATCGTAAGGGGGTGAGCGGTGGTAATGGTGGTGGGTGACAATTGTGGTGGTGGAAGATGGTGTTGGTTGTGGGGGGTGGCGATGATCGTGATAATAGTGGCAGTCGTGGGTGACAATGGTGCTGGTGGTGGTAGGTTTTGAGTGACGATGGTGATTAGTGGCAGTCATGGGTGACGGCGGTGGTGGTGGTGGGCGACGATGATGGTGGTCGGCGACTACGGGTGCTTTTAGGCGACAATGTGATGGGTGGTGGTGAATGATGCAGTGGTGGCAGTGGTTATAGGTGTGGTGGGGGTGGGTAACAATGAGTGGCGACAATGGTGATGATGGTTGGTGGTGGTAGGCGTGGTGGTAGTAGGTGACAATGTTTGGTGGCGATGGTGGGCAACGACGGTTGGGGGGGGGGCTGTGGTAGTGTGTGGCGGGGGGCGGTGATGGGTTTTGACAATGGACGATAGTGGCAGTAGGATGATGATGATAATAGTAATAAATATAAGAATAAGATGATGATGATTGTGGGTGATAGCGATGGACAAACGTGATAGTAATCGGTGGTGAGTGGCGATAGTAGTGGCGGGGGTGGCGACGGTGGTAGTGGTGATGTTTTGTGGGGGTGGTGGTGTGGCGGTAGTGGTGGTAGGGGTGATTGTGGGACAATGGTGGTGGTAGGGTGACGACAAAGGTGGTGATGGTGGTTGTTGGACAGTAGGGGTGGCAGGGTGGCAACAGTGGTGATGGCAGCAACAATGGTGGTGGAAGTAATGGTGGTGGGTAATGAGGGTGGTGGAGGTAGTGGTGGTAGCTGTGGGTGTGATAGTGATGGGGCGATGGGTGTGGTGGTGGTGGTGATGGTATTGGTGGCGGTGGCAGTGAGGGTACTGGTGGTTGGGGTAGTTGTGGTGGTGGAATTGCAGAAGTGGTGGTAATAGTGGTGATGGTGGTGGGGGTGATAGTGGTAATGATGGTGATGAGACGGTTCCAAACACTATTTGTTTTTACGTATTTATGAAAAGTTACAAGTGTTTGAAGTACTTTTCAAAAATCACCC